CTTCTCAGAACATAACAAGTCTTGATGATGAAGGCTCAAAAGAGCCTTTCTTTTTCCTCTAGATCCACATCCAACCACGCAAACACACGAAAACCTCAATGCTTCCTTTACATCCTAGCAGCTCTTTCCCCAGCCAAAACTTATTTCTCTGCTACAAAATACTTGGCTACTGAGAAACAGAGGCTTCTATTGAATCCTGTGATCCAAATACCATCAAACCAGAAGAGCATAGGAATATTTAAATTAGGAAAAAGAGGGSCTAAATAGATCAATCCTGATGGAGGTACACTTGTACCAGTCCAATCTCATCAGAAAGCAATTTAGCTCCAAATCTGTAAAAAGCCACAGTTGAGCTCTCTAAATATAATCCTAAAAAGCTTAGAAAAGCTTGAGCCCTGATAAAGCAAAGCAATCACAGTGTATGAGATTAAGGATATAACAGTGAAATCATCAACGTGTTCTTTCTTTGGCCAAGACCACAACTGCTGTATGTACTTGTTCACACACTGACCTGTATTCTGCTCAGGCAAAAATACCTACTGGTGTCTAAGTGCACACACATACATGAAATGAGAAATCATGCACAACTCCATGGAAAACCCCCCCATCCTGTTGTGGACAGAAATGCTTTCCAGCCCAAAAGCTAGTTTTTCATCAAGAGCAGTACATCTATGAATGATCAGCAAAGCTTCTGGCCAGAATACTGTTTTCAAAGCACAGCAAACCAAAATCATCAGTATTATTTGTTCAGAACAAAATAGTACAAAACATGCTTTGAGAACGTCAAACAAAGCTGGTCTGTTTCCCAGGGTATAATCTTTTCTTCACTATACCTGCAATACTTGCAAACTACAATGGCAATCTTAATCTGAAAGAGAAAAAAGATATTTGGAAACCAACTAGTTATGCTGAGAAGTTCATTGCTTTTCTCTCAGCTTCATGTTTGCAATTTCTAAATCAGACTGCCTACCAGTATCAAATTATCKGTGAAAAAATTCTGAAAGTTATTGCTTGGGGCTTGTAAAACTGAACACCTTGATTATTTCACTGTGTTGTTTCCACCTTACCAGGCAAACTGTAGGTAGCAAAGATGCAACAGCTGCACCTATAATAGTAAGATGATTAAAAAGTATTTTGTGTAAAGCTTTTTCTTCTGGTGGGCTAAGAATTAAGTGCCATTACAGCTCAGCTTGAAGTTCATTCTATAACTCCACTGAGAGAGTGAAGTATTTAAAATGTGTTTTATAATACAAGTAGCTATATTTGGCACTTCTCTCTGTGACAGAAAAGCTCTTCACTTCTATGCAGACCAGAGTATAGGGGAGACTGTGCTGAGTGCGGCTCTTGGTGAATGCAGGGGCATTCTGCCCCTGGCTTGGCATTACAAGAAGCAGGTTTGCTTGAAGTGAGAGAATTCTGTACTCTCCCAGGTACTGTAATTAGTTCTGGCTGTCACATAAACTAGATGAAAAGGGCTTTAATTTCCCCTCAAGAATGAAGCAGATGGAGGATCATGAGCAGCCTGTCAGGAGGAGAGGCAGACTCTGGCTGTTKTCTTCCTCACCAGTGAACTGATGGGGGAGGCTTCTGCAGGTACTGCCCAAAAGTTCACATCTTTATCCCTTCATCCAAAGTGAAAAAAGTTTTACTACTTTTGCTGTGGAAAAGGTCAGATAATGCAGCCCCTTACTACTTTTCCTCTCTYGCTAATACTCAGTTTTCTTGAATATTTGAAGTGATAGAATATAACCAGGTTAGAGCAATTTTTTTTAACAACTATGTGTAGCATTTAAAAGGGTACTTTTCCCAATTCATCCTYGGCAGCAGGACTGGATCCTGTGCCTCCATGTGCAGGACTTCARCTTTCCTTCCTCAGGGCTTTCTGTAACAGCAAGGCAAAAGGGAGCTCTGGCCCAAAGATCTTCCACACTGTCCTCTCATTCCTTCTTCTGTGCTCAACTTGAAGACACCTTAATCTGGCAGCACRGATTTCAGATCTCTCTGATCTTTACCCTCAAGGCTCCATATCGGGTGATTTGCTGGGAGAGGTGAGATACTGGTTTGGGATAATCTGTCTTAGAAGCATTTTCCTTGTAATTCCATTATTGAGGATTTTAGTGATTACAGTTTGAGCCAAGGACTGTGCTTGTTCTGAATTTAAAGTAAGTCAGCCATTGAATGGTTGTGATAAATTTTTATCAGGCAAAATTTGAGCTATATGGAACAATGACAATGTTTAAAAGCATATTTTGCTTAAGCAAATAATCTTTTCAGTCTTGCTAGCTGTAAAAGCTGACTTAATCTTATTGTTGTCAACTGTTTTGTTCTTAAAAATATCTTGTTAAAGTTAATAATAAAATTGTGCAAAAATCCTAGGAACAAACTGAGGCACAGAATTAAATTCTGCACGTGTAGTCACAAGACAAAAAATTCTTTTTAATTATTTGCATCGAGCCTGGGTGATTAATCAGTAAATACATTTGTTTACTGCATTCTTTCTCTTATCTAAACAGTTCATTCTCCTGGTTTAGGCCGAACACTTGTATAAAATTCTAACTGGAACCTCGAAGTCAGTTGTTTTAAAGCAGGAACATTGTCATTTATTTCTGTCTTTTACCTGCTGTCATTCTTTAAACCTTCTGCAAGGACATGCATATCTACRTGATATTATTATCTGAGAAATTAGCTGTATTTTTGTGATTTCTGCATCTAGAGTACTAATACATTTCATAGATGTGATTGAGTTTGCAAAATCATGGTACTTTATTTTATGTCAGTTTCATCTTCAAATTTCTATGAGTGGCAGAAGTATCCAAGGTAATTCAATAAATCCTCCCCTTGAAATACTCTTAGTGTCAAAATGAGCRTAGTCTCTCCATAAGTGTTCTAGCACTAAAATCCCTGAGCATAATAGTGCATGTTATTTTAGAACTAAAATTAAACAGCATTTCATTTCCATCAGTCTAAAAATAATTATTTGGAAAACTAAATTTGGATTTGCTGTGACAAAGGATATATATATTAACCAATAGAGGAATTATAATCTGTGGTTTGAAAGAAAACATTTTCTTTTCTCTGATTTCTGTCATTATGTTGAAAGCTGAGGAAAAATTAAAATTTTACTTTAATTAAAATTTCAATATGAAAGAGTCATCAAGTCTAAAATGCACAGAAGTTTTTGCCAGTGAAACACACCTGTCTTAAAGGGGGTTCATTATGTCTATGTAATCTGTCACAAAGTATGATATATGTGAATGTCTCTCAAGAGGCACTGATCCATTAGAAGGAAATAGAATTCAATGTTGAACTGAGAAAGTTGAAATCATTTTCGTTTGTCCATTATTAAGATAGTATAAATGAATGTATTATCAACCCTGCCTGCTGTACATCCAACTCTTTAGATCCTGCCCTTACATAAATGGGTCAATTCTGTCTCCATGTACTCCTGTTCACTGYTTGAAAAAAGCTTTCAGTACTTGTACATACATGCAAGAATTGTTTTAAAACATTACGTTTCAGGGTTGAGAAAACASGTGGATTTAAGCATTAACACACTGTGAAAATAATTTCTCTTTGAACTATAAATACAGCTAAAGAGTGTGTTAAAACAAGCACTTTGTGTAAATCTATAAAAATAATTTACTTTCGTGAAATTAGTAAAATCCAACATGGCCTGGGACAGAAAGCCTTTGTCCTGGGGCTTTGGCCTGTATGCTTTCCATATTCCATTATGCAAATATCAGAATTTATCAGATACTTTGCCTCATTCCTGCTACTCTCATTCCAGTTTACTGTACAGTTTATCTACTTCAGACAAATCTACATACCATGCACAGTCTCTCAAACCCAACAGCTTCTGCCCACAAAAACATCAGCTTGTTTTGCTATTACTCACACATCAGCGACATTGTGTCRGTCATATCATGTGCAAAGAGAATTCCCATCCCAGTGAGTTTAGAGTCTGAAAGTGTCAGGCCTGATGCTCAGTTCACACAAAGCAATATAATCCTATTCAAGCCAGTGAACTCTGCATTATACAAGCAAAGGGTTTGCTCATTGTTTCAAACAGGTGAATTTTTTTTTTAAAGTCAGACWAGGAACAGGCAAGCAGTGTTTTGTATCAAGCTCTGACATAGTACAGAAACAGACAAAGTACTGCTCAGAAAACAAAGAAAATTATCCTATTTAGTAGAATAAAAAATTAAAAGTCATACCCACAGATAGTTCACAGTCACATCAAGGTACATGTCTGCTTCTGATGTGAACTCTTCAGACACCGTTTTCCCATTTACATCCCCACACTGCAATTTGGGCACAAACAAAAAAGTCTCCCTGTGCAATCATACCGGTGATATCAGGTTGTCCCTCCCCTGCAGCCCTAGGTGACAGCCCAGTTCATTCACCCTGCATGTTTTCCATGTTGCTTGCGTGGGTTTGGGATTGTGCTTATTGCTTATCTACTTGTCCAGGTCAGATGTTACTTGTTCTGTGTAATTCTGCTTCCTGTGGAAGATTCAGCCTGATATGATTTTCTCACTTTCTGTTTTGTACTGCTAACTTCTCTCTGCAGACATCAGCACAGCTTAGTGCAAATACATTTTTTTATCTGCAATGTCTCTGAGATCTTTTTATTGTTAGTGGTTTACTAATTTCCCACAATCTTCTTTCTGTATAACAGATTTAAAATATACGACATCCACATAACATGAAGAAGAGCAGGAGGAAAATTTTGTATTTCTGTTGTAGCTTATGAGAAATTTAGGACAAAAACCATAGTACTGATACATTAAAAAAAATTCAAAATTTTGCCTGCAAAGCACAGCTACTGAATTGGGTGTCCAAACCCAACCCCTGCCAACAGCAGCCAACCTCATTCTCATTTCTGACTGCCTGTATGGCTTATGTAGCTGTCCAGTTTACATGAMATTGCTAATGTCAAGCTCATCATGAAGGTTAGATCCTCAGTTTTTAAAGCTGACATACCTTCCTGCATCTGCCAGACCCAGCTGAGAGGCTGCTGTGCTCTGCCAACCAGCTCTCACACTGAGGAGCTACAAGCACATCTCCACAGGCTCCTGGATCAGGAGRGTTCCTCTGGAAACCATAGAGCATGTCCTACACTGTGCTGTGTAGGTTGTCTGCAACCCCCAGAGTGGGGTTTACATTACACAGCAGTGTAGCTATGCTAACATTCCACTCCACCCAGACTGACAGATCTCCTGTGAAGCCTACGCAGAGCTGTGCAGWGGCTCCAAGCGCTCAGCTGAGCGGATGTGATTGCATGGCTCTGCTTGGCGCTGGGTAGAAATTCTGTGGGCTTACCTGTGATGTCAAACACGTCAGCCTCTAAGTACTCTGCCCCACCATCACTGTAGGAGTAGGTCACTCTGAGGAACAGAGTCCAGAGTCACTTAGAAAAGCAAGCAGGTTGTTCCCWGGATCTGCCTCTTTTGCCTCCTCCACCAATCATTCAGCAGTGGCAGTTCTATAATGGCGTGGGAAGTGCTGTTCTCCCCCTCTCATTCCTTCTCCTGAGTGGTTCTTCTGTCAGTCCATGGCTGTGCCCCAAGACCATCACCTCACAGATGTGCTCTCTGCCTTCCAGGAGAGCAGCAACAGGGATGTCTGGGCATGTTTTTCCTGGCTTGGGAGATGTGTTGCATCTCATGTTTGCCACAGGTTTGCTCACTCTGCATTTATTGCCCAGGTCAAATGCCAAATTTCCAAATTTTTGTGTTGTTTCCATCCTTATTCTGCTAGTACTGGACACATGTGAGGGCTACCAGTTTCACAGAGCCACCCAGCCTTTCACAGGAATAATAATACCACATTATAGTGGTGACATATAATAACACAGTATCTGAAGGGTGACACTTGGACATGCTGCACTGGGTACCAGGAGGTGGGCAGGAATTAACCTCTCCTCATCCTGCTTTATCAAAGACTACTGGGCTTCAAGCCGGGCTTACCCTAAGGCACTGGGGTTAAAAAACAAATGAATAATTAAATTCCTACATTTAGATTGCGTGTCCAGACATTTCGAATCCAACCAGGATCTTTCATCAGCGGAATCTGAAAGAGATAAATCATAATGAGAAATAATGCAGTTAATTAACTACACACAGAGGTTAATAAATACAGGCCTCAGTCATGGTCCTTGAAACCCAGCTGCTTCAATGAATACCTCTCTTGAGATTCCTTTGTAAGATACATTGCCTTTGCATCATCCTCACTTTTTATTTGGACTGAGAAATGTTCTCAATTCCCAGTTTCCACCACCTCAGTTTTCAGRGGTTTTACAGAAGGATTTAGTCCTCTGCTAGTAGGATCTGTATTGTCAGCTCGAGAGAACTTGGAAGCAGGAAGCCCCTGTGAGCTCTGAAGAAGCATAGGCCACAACAGTCTGTTTATTCTACTGCAGGTTGGGGCTGCCAAAGATCTTTTCATATGGCATCATCCCTAGATGTGTTGATGGTACTGGTACTCTAGTACCCAGTAGGACAGGAAAAGCAGTTCTGTTGGGAAAGAAGAACATACTTCAGCCTCTTTGAAGCAACCTGGTGCTCAGGGTCTGCATAGCAGAGGCATGAGTTTATTCCATGATTAGTGCTCTGCAAACAGGCAGCACAGGAGCCTGTAGAGTGACTGTACTTCCAGAGACCAAGCCCCACAGCTGAGGTGGCAATTACTTTGACAACCTCTTTTTGAACACACAGAGGTAGGAGTGAATGGTGATTTCATTTTTAAAGGAGACACAGTTACAAGACACCTTGACACTGATTAGTACCCACTAAGTAGGGTAAGCTTCCAGTGYTGCTGAAGATGAAGGGATACATATAAATAAAAGGAAAAGTTATTGAAAAGAAATTGTGAACTGCTTTTTATAATACTTCTTATTCCATAGTGAAATTTCATACTTAAAGGACTACCTCTACAAGATCAATAAATATTATGATAATGATATGAACAAATAAGTTGAAAGATTTCCCTTTCTTGCCTAGAAAAACTTTCAAATAGGGCCAGATTTGCTAGTGGCATGTTCTCCAAACATCCATATTCCCCACATTCAAATCTCAACATTTTTCATGCACAAACGCTCACCAGAAAAAAAGAAAAAACATTCTGCTCTTTATCATTCTCAAGTTATATGACACCTATAATACTCTGTTTTTTGAATTTTACCAAGCAAATAGAAAAGGGATTAAATGATCCTTTTTCTGAACTTTCTTCCATTAGAATAAAGACAATGAAACAATTACAAATAGGGAGCAATCAGAAATAGAAAAACAAGCATTACAGAAATAAATTCACCTAATTCTGGTAGGTCCAGTTCTTAAGGGTTCCATTACTGTTAATTACACTGGTAATTACACTCACACACTCTGGTWCATATATAATTAGAATATCATTTTGTGTGAGGCATGTGACAAATAAGTTTGAGGTGGCACCATGAGAGGAAGATAGAGAGGTCTATGAAGGCACAAGGCCTTCTCTGTTCACAACAATATCTTGCACTTGAACATTCCATTAAGGATTGCACCACAGTATTCAAACAGAATTTACCAAGTCTCTAACAACCTTATGGATCAGGAGAGATTATAAATTCCTTTTATTAAATTAAGAAACTGAGATATAACCTGACTAAATTACTTATTCTGCRTTACAAAGGATTTCTAGCATCTGAATTAGGAACATACCTCTTTCCACATGGCCCATGGTTTTAACAATCTTTTCTATTCYGAGAAGCAGACTAAAAATACTGACACGGTTACACCAATAATTAAATTACAGAAACATTCTTGCAGGCTAAATTAATAATTGAAATACAGATGCATGTTGTATGCAAATACTGAATTCAATATAATTATATTTTCCTGTTGCATGTGCTTGCTTGTGTTTAAGAGCTATCATAGAATGGTTTGGGTTGGAAAGAACCTGAAAGACCACCTAGTTCCTACCCCCCTGCCATAGGCGGATACACTTTTAGTGAGACCAATGTGCTCAAAGCCCCATCCAACCCGGCCTTGAACCCTTCCTGGGATGGAGCATCTACAGCTTCTGCGGGCAACCTTTTCAAGTACCTCACCATACCTACAGAAAAGAATTTCTTCCTAATATGTTACCWAAGCCTACCTTCTTTCAGTTGAAATGATCCCCCTTGTCCTGCCACTACATGTCCTTTTAAGAAGTCCCTCTCTAGCCCTCTTGTTGCCTCTTTTGGTACTTCAAGGTGCCATAAAGTCTCCCCAGAGTCTTCCTTCTCCAAGATATACAACCATTCTCTCAGCCTGTGCAGAGGAGAGGTGCTTCAGCCCTTTAATCATCTTTATGGCTTCCTCTGCGCWCGCTCCAAAAGTTCCACATATTTCCTGTGCTGAGGACCCCAGAGCTGGACACAGCATTTCACATGAGGTCTCACGAGAACAGAGGGGCAGAATTGTGTCCCTTGCCCTGCTGCCCACGCTGCTTTTGATGCAGCCTGGGACAGAGCTGGCTTTCAGGACTGCAAGATCACATTCTTTCCTCTTCGTTCTTTCTTTAAAACAATCAAAATTCCATGATCAAAAAATAAATCTCAGAAACATTCTAATAGGAACTACCACAGGAAAAACAGTACGTTTCATTAGCAGAAAAGTCAACAGTGTGCGGCAACAGTGTTGGTAATTTTACAAAAGTACTGTTGCCTGTGCCTTCAGTTCCTCTGAAAAGCAGTGCTCAGAGACAGTCCTGTAAAACATTCTTTGTGTACTGGTGCAACAACCACGCGACTCTCCAGGATCTCTGCCAACATTTTGAAAGTACAGTTAATATTGCAGTTAAGTATTTGATCTTCAGAGTTGTCTAATCTCTGTTCCTGCTCACATTCGAAAAACAACCCTAAGGAGCTTTCATTCAGACCTGCAATTCATGGAAAAATTTAGTATTTAATGAACTATATTTTGTCCATTTTTAAGAGTGACTGTTGTAAATCAACTGCCTGCCTTTCCTATTCAGTAGGCTTGGAAATGCAAACTGACATGAGTAAAATGATTTTAAAGCAGACACAATGCATTAAATCTTTCCTTCAGCTGTGCCAGCCTCAGCAGGCAGCCTGCTGACCTTAGAGAGCAAGCTAATGTGGGGAAAAGATGACCTTGCACTTAAGCTAGTGAAATAGGACACAAGTGCTATTCCTGTACRAGACAATCAGAGTCAAGACACAGGCAGAGGCACTGGGACACTCTGGCCTGTGCCCTGATGCTGGAACAACAGCACTTGGCACGGGTGCTGCCACAGCCAGCTGGCAGCTCCCAGCT